TCCTCTTTCTCATTTAACTATAGTGCACAGCTGAAAAAAAAAAACAAATAATAAAAAAACTAATAATAAAATTTCCAGAAAAAAAATTTTTTTCTTATTCAAATAAACTCTTCAGAAACAGAATCAAGACCAGAAGTAATAGTGAGAAAAAACTGAATAAATAAGAAATAAAATTTATTGTCTTTAGAGATGAGGTGATAGCAGTGTGAAAAATGATGAACAACTTGTAGTCCAAGAAGAAAAATAAGAAAGAAGAGGAGAAAAAAAGATGAAAAAAAAAAAGAAAAGCTTTTATCTCTTTTTTTCCCTCTTCTTCTGTTGTTTGCTTATTAAAGAAAAAAGTTGATATTTTTTCATGTCTACTGTTTTTTCCCTTAATGTGAAATAAAAGTTGATAAATGTAGTTCCAGCGCTTAAAATAAAAAAAAAAATAAAAGTAAGAGCTAACATTAACAATGTTTTTTTCCCACCTCATCCTTCTCCTGTCCTTCTCTTCCAAATGATGTTCTATAACGCTGTAGTTGAAAAAAATTGAAAATAAGCGAATATCAGAAACCGAAAAGGTGTGGAAGAGAAGTAAATGAATATGAAAAACCAATACACGGAACGTGTGAAAGTGGAGCTGGGTGAGTGCTGAAGGTTATGAACGGTGATGATAGGTGAGTGACGATGCTTGGTAAAGCAAATCTGATTGTACAGTATTGTCGCAAAACTTTGGGAAAACAGGAAGAATAAAAAAAAAGCAAAAAAAAAAGTAGAGAAATAAAACTTTTTCACAGATTGTACTTTCACAAAACCAGTCCAAAAAAACTAACACCAAAAAAAACCTTATATTAACCGATGCACATTTAACGTATTCTGATGAAACATCAAAGTTTGGCATATCAATTCCCAAGTTTGTTATTTTAGGAAATGTTTAAAAGATATCTTCTTATCTTTCTGCGTTTCCACCTTTTTTTTTTGTAAAAAATATGTTTTTTTGCTCAATTTTTTCCATTTTGTTTTGTAAAGCCACAATCTGTTTTCAAGAAGATTTAATCGCAGCTTTATATGTGAAGAAAAACACACCATTCCTGTCTTTCCCGTTCCAATACATCTCCTAAAGTTGCGTGGAATCCAATCAAATAAAAGTCAACTGTTTTGAAGAATTGAGTGCTCAGAAACTTAACGGTATGTTAAAGGGATCATAAAAACATGGGAAAATTTAGAGGACAATAAGATAGCAAATCCAATCAGCTGTCAGCTGTGATGGCCGATCAATTGTCTAGAATCATTTCGTTTTAGAGCTCTAACAATAGGGTTACATTTAAGGCTAAAAACTTGTCGTTCCTTTAGAACAACAACATTGATTCAAAAAACAG